CAAAATAAACGTGCAAAAGACAGTTGCATTCCTATACACCAACAACAAGCAGGCAGAGACCCAAATAAAAAGCACAATCCCATTCACAATAGCTACAAAAACATGAAATACCTCGGCATCTTCCTAACCAGAGAAGTAAGAGACATTTACAATGAAAACTACAAAACACTGCTCAAAGAAATCCAAGAAGACACAAACAAATGGGAAAATATTCCATGCTCATGGATTGATGGATTGATGGAAGAATCAGCATTGCTAAGACGTTCATCCTACCCAAGGCAATCTACAGATTCAACACAATACCCATTAAATTACCAACTTCCTTCTTCTCAGACTTGGAAACGACAATACAGAAATTCATATTGATATGGTCCAAGTAACATTTGGCTGCTAACACTCGACACCAATAAATTGAGAGGCAGGAAAACTGGTAGAAAGAAGTCTATTTCTGAATTCAAATCCGGGGAGCAGAGCATGGCTCCTAGCATTTCTAGCATGATTCTGCTCCCCCTTCAGGTTTTATAGTCTGTTTTTTTAAGTTAAGAGTTGTCAGTACTTATTCATTGACTACGTGACTAGTAGCGCGTTGTATAGAACTTAAATCCCAGTCACCATTTGGCAGTAATGACATTTATGGTATCTCACCGCTTTTTATCAGTAATGCCCGGCAGAAACATTCATCAAGCTGGCCATAGAGTAAAGGGAATTAACAGGGCCTAAGACATCCTACATTTTGTTATGTGCAAAAGTCATTCTACAAATCACAGGACTTACAATTACCTTGATACCATTATTCAAACTTGTGACTACTAAGAAAAGGGAGTAAATGGGATTTTACATCTTTCAGTTAATTGGGCACAGTCTGCAGGAAAGTGAAGGATTCTTTGAAGTTACTTACGGGGAGTGCACAGGAAATAAGGGGAAACACACCTTTTGTTAACTCTCAGGAATGTGGGTACATGCAGGAGCACTTGAACCCTTGTACCCTTGCCATGCCCTTCTCTAAGAATTGTGGCAATATATACAGATAATAGAGGGTCTCCGTATCAATATGGAAACAAAAACGACCACGAATAGCCAAACCAATCCTTAGCAAAAGAAAGAAAGCAGGAGATGTCACACTTCCAGACTTTAGACTTCATTATAAGGCTACAATAATCAAAACAGTCTGATATGGGAACAAGAACAAGCATATAGACCAGTATAGAGACTTCAGAAGCAAAACCTCAATTTCTAACCA